AAAACCCAGTAAAATTCGGGTACATAATATCCTCTAGCAACTGCCAAACAAAACCATTGGCTAAAACAATTACCAAAAGGCTTAAACTATGCTAAACCCAACATTAATAGTGATTTCATAATTGATAGAAATAAACCCATCGTAGAAACTTTAGATAAATCAATCAAAAACTTAATGCAAAAACAATAGAAACAAAAGATAATTTGGAATGGTTTGTGGATTACGCTTTTAATGAAGCTTTCAGGAAAGGCAGAAACTTGATGATCATTTTCTCAGAAGATGCTACATGGATTACAAAACGTCGCAATGCCGACACTGTAGTTTTTGATAAAGAAAAGTTTCAAAACATTATACATTTTCTAATTGACAATGCCATATTTGAGGTTGGGGATCAGATAATACAGCAAACTATTGGTTTACCAATGGGAACTGATCACGCCCCATTTATGGCAAACGAACATTTATATAAATATGAATTCTGCTTTCAGAATCATAAACGAAAATCGGATTACAAAGTAGCTACAAGTTTAAACTATACCTTCCGATTCATTGATGACATAACACCTATCAATGATAACGGAACTTTCAACAAATATAAATATGAAATATATCCCCCAGAACTTATACTATTCAAAAAAAGTAGGGGATATTTGATTTTTAAGTGTTATTAAAGTCACCTAATGAAACTGACGAAGAAACAAATGACAAAATGAAATGAAGTTCACATTAATCGATTTATTCCAAATGGTCGTTAGACTAAGTAAGGCACAGATTGACCATTATAAGGGTAAAATGATACCCGGGGTCAAACAGCAAAGTTACCACAGCATCACAACCAAGTCAGTAACGGGTAAATCCTCCTCTGTTTGCCAAACAAGCATTGATCCGACGTGGCATACTCCTAATGAGACGTCTAAGGTCATTTTGGTCCAGATTGTCCCATTCCTGTTGCAACGCAGCAGCAAGTTCTTGGACATTGGCAGGACGTTGTTGACGTTGACGTAACCTCTGTCCAAGCATGTCCCAGACATGCTCGATGGGGAGAGGTCGGGACTCAGTGCTGGCCAAGGTAATGTGGTGATGTTCTGTTGTTGGAGGTAACCTGTAACGATCCTGGCCCTGTGACATCTTGCGTTGTCATCCTGGAAGATGAAACGGCGGCCATGACGTCGTGCGAACGGCACAACATGGACTGCCAAGATGTTGTCCCGGTAGTACTGGCCTGTAACACACCCTGCAACAACATGTAAAGCCGTTCTTCCAGCAACAGTGATGCCTCCCCACACCATAACAGAACCACCACGAAATCGATCATGTCTGATGACGTTAACGTCTTGGAAGCGCTCGTTTCGACGAAGCCACACCCTCCTACGTCTGTCCAAAAAATCAACAGTGAACCTTGACTCATCTGAAAACATCACATTGCTCCAGCGTCGATTATCCCAGTGTTGACGATCCCTACACCAACGACGTCTTGCCTGAATGTGATGATCTCTCAAACAAGGGATCACGCGAGGACGTCGGGCGCGAAGGTGACCCCTATGCAGTCGATTCCGAATCGTCTGGCCACTCACTCTCACACCAGTGTCTGTTTGAAGACGAGCGCTGATCTGATTTGCTGTGATGACACGATTTCTCAAGGCCATGGTACGGATAAATCGATCCTGGGCTTGAGTTGTCCCCCTTGGTCGACCTGAGCGTGGTCTGTCCTGTACAGAGTGTGTATCACGGTATCTGGACCATAGCCTGCTTATGACAGACTGAGAAACATTCATCGTCCGCGCCACAACCGCCTGTGTTGTGCCGATCTGTAGCATGCCAAGGGCACGTAACCTTTCATTTTGGGTAAGCCGACGCATATCAAAATTTGTTTTCTGGTCACTAAAACAATTAAACTGATGTTTCCACCCTGGAATTCAATGCCACAATGACTGTAACATTCAAAGTCAGAGTCGTGCAAATCTTGGGTTGGACCCCCATGATGATCCCAAGCATCACCTGCATTCCATGCGGTAGCTATTGGTGCGTTTGGGCGTCACATGTAACTGGAAATGTTTCTTCTGTTAGGTTCTATAGTGACCTTTTTCGTAGTCATTTGCATATTTTAGTATTATGCCCCCAAAATCAAATATCCCCTACTTTTTTTGAATAGTATATATTAAATAAAAAAAATTCTGGCACTATAAATGCAACTGTTCTTGACCTGGATATTAAAATAATTAAAAATAAATTTAATGTCGGTATTTTCGACAAAACAGACAAATTTGGCTTTGAAGTAGTAAAATACCTGTCAATTTATAGTAACATACCAGATATCACGCTACATAGTGTTTTCTATTCAAAAGCATTACGATTTTTGACTATATTTAACGATAAAGAACTATTTATTTCCAGAATAAAATCTCTTTACTCTAAGTGCTCTGCCAAAGGCGGTACACAATTACGCATTTTAAAAGAAATTTGTAAACTTCCATTTCTTCAAAATACCAAGTTTGACATTTCTTATAAGTATATTACCGAATACATATTGGATAATGATCCAATTTAATATTTATTTTAAATTTTCTGCACTTTCCTAATCCTATCTGGATTATCGACCTTATTTTATGCCTTTATATAAATACATGTTCATAGTACGATTTCGTCAGCGTACCTGTTTTGCATTTCTTGTAGGAATTTACGTATTGTATTTTGAGCAATTACATAGTTGAATAATTCCGATTAGTTCCTTTTTATTGTGGTTTTTATTACATTTTCAAACCTTGACGTCTTAGCAACCTATCGCCTTTTACGTCACATCATTCAGTCAGCAGACGGCTCTCTTTCGAGACGCTTTACATTTTCTCATTTGCTTCTTTGTATACAGTATTGTTTGTTATTTGACTCTGTTTTTTTTTGTGATAAATGGAACATACGCCCTAAATATATTCAATCCCTCGATTCTATTGAATACTAAAAATGTTTCTCACTTAACTTACAATTTTTGTTTTTTTGGACTGCCTGTGTTTTTTTTATACATTTCACCGATACGGTTACTTGTATAGGTAATTTTTACTTCAATATGTTTACATTCATATTTCTTGTACATATAGCAGATCATGACTCATGCTGGCATTACACAATGGTTTCTCTGGGTTATCTTAGATTCAATGGATTTGTGATGAGGTCATAATAATTCATCGAAATCTATCGTTTATTACCATTTTAGGCGACCGAGCTTTCTAGAATCGTCACTTGGAAACTTCTAGAAACCATAGAAACTTCTGGAAACGGTGTTTAGAAATAATTGGAAGGTTCTGGAGGGTTCTAGAAAAAGTTGGAAAGTTTTAGAATTTCCTAAAACTATGTAAGTCGGACCAGACTAGTCCGAGAGCAGAACTCTCTCAGCACTTCGTACAGAACTTGCTCAGCACTTCGTACAGAACTTAACGTTTTTCGTGAGTTTCTGTTTGAACCACATGGCCTGGGTTCTCGATTTATTGTCATTTCGTGCTGTTGCACTTATTGTGCTGTTTTGAGCGAAATTATCTCTTTTACATTGTGCTGTTCTTAGAGACTTGATCTCTCTGTTGTAATCCAAGTTTAGGATTACTGGTGTAGATTTTTACCAGATTATACTGATTCAAGGATTATTCATCCTGTCAGTTTTGGATCATCAAGTTCCTGTGTAATTCTGCCAACCTAGGAATTACTACGACAGCGCCGAGAAGACATATGTAAAGGACTGTTTACAAACTACTACCTCAAAGCAGTAGAAACACCGAGAGCAGAGAAGATTTCAACCGAATACTGGTAAAATTGGACTGAATACTGTGAGTAATCCTGTACATTGATTCTGATCAACGCTGTTATATTCATACTTCTACTCATTTGTCCCAATATCATTTGATCCAAAAAATCGGTTGTGTAGATTTGTTTGTGAATCTGTAAACTACCATCGATCAGGGCCGTAACTAGCTCAGAGCAACGAAGGGGGGGGGGGGGTGTTCTCAGGGGTGCTGTAAATTGACGGACAATGTATATCTATGGTCGACAATTTTTTCACCGGGGGGGGGGGGGGGCGAAACTCGATAATCGGAGATTGTAACAGATTGTTTTGGAGGGCTACTCAGAAAATAACATTTACATTATAAAACATGTTGTATTGCCTTGTTCGCTCCTGGTGTTGGCCGAGAAAATTCCTCTGGATTTTCTGGAGTGATTTCCCCTTATCAGTGGTGAAGGATGTGTACACATTGACGTGCACGTAAAAGAACCATTGCCAGTTGGAATTCGAAATAAGAGTATGACGTAGCACCGCTGTCCAGGCAAAATTGCCCTCATAGCACACTGTCTGGTATATGCTATTCTTCATTAGCCTATAGCCGAGTCCTACTACGACAAGGACCGATAGGAGGATTTTATTTATGTCAAGATCGCCTAAAGTATTGCAAAAAGTGACCGACAAGAAAAGATAAGTTATAGATATGTATATTATACACATAATATCTAAGCCTTTAATGATTTCGTAAAATATTCACAAAATCACGGATAAGTGAAATTGACGAAAGAAAGGCGCTTGTCGGTGATTAGAAGGATCGACCCATTCGGTGCTTGAAAAATAGGACATTAAACCTCATTTCATTTCATTCACTTGTTGTAAAATGGGATACCATTTTGAGCGTACTTTGTTCGGATTTATATTGTTACAAGAATTAAAATGCACGCATCTTCCATCTTTAATTATAACTCGTATATCTATATAGATGGTTATCTTCAGCGATAAGTAATTATCTTATAAACATGCTCATATCTGCCATCTTTTGTTGTCTTACCATTAACACTTATATCATAGTCTGTTAGCTTGGTTAGTTCTCTTTCACAACTTATTTACATCGACTGGCTCCTTTATCGTAATACTGAATGGATTTCAAGTGCTCCTTGTAAACACACAGTTTCCACCTCGTTTCCGATTGTCCTAGTAACCTTTTAGACATTTCAAATTGCAGGATATATACAGCTTCCCAGTTACTTCACAGCAATACTAGAACTGTTCTTTAATCAGTAAGATACGTTTTTGGACACGAAGTTTATGAGTTGTGCAGGAATAACCGTTATAATTTAATAGGCAGCTAATATATCTATTTACTGACGGAAAAGTACGGGTGATGGATTTACATATCTACCAACTATTTATTGTATGTTTAATATTGTTGTGTGTCGGTAAGATTTCATATTATATTATTTTTATACTCATACACAATGCACCCCCCCCCCCAACGCCATGATCATAAACAAAGTCTTGATTGTCAGTCATTTTAATGAGTGACGTCCATTTTAACCGATTAGATGGCGTGGATAGTATAATCTGTTCAATATCTCAACCATCCGATGTTCTAGATTATAGACTCTTCGTGTGAATAGATGTCGAAATAATAATTCGTAAGACCTGCAATAGGCAGATTGAGCTCTGGCATAATGCACCTTTAACTTGTCATTTTTATGTTTGGTACATAAATAATATACACTTTAAATATGAAAAAGAAAACCCTAATCCCTGGATAAAAAAACCCAACAATAATTACAAAATATATTTATTAAACCCTTAAATTAGAAGGAAATGGAAACGGGTAATCCACCGAATTTCATACTGACATCATGGATCATTGTAAGATTTATTGTAAAGACATTTTTGACAGGTAGGACCTACTATCGACTGTTGTTCAAACTGTGTCACTATCGACTGTTGTTCAAATTGTGGTAATATCGGCTATTTGTCAAACTGCGACACCATCTACTATGGTTCAAACTGCGATACTATTTATTGCCAGAACTGCGGTACTATCGACTGTTGTTCATACTTCGGTAATATCGATTATTGTTCAAACTGCGGTACTATCGACTATTGTTCAAACTTCCTTTCGTAACAAGAGAATGTATTAAACTAAGTATACCAGTACAGGTACCCGTGATTGCCAGAATGCCATACAATGTAAGAATACACAAATAAATATCCCGGATCTCACTGGGTACATATACCAGGGGTCACACGTTCAGGATCTTCCAGCTGCATGAATACAGTCAAAAGATTTAGCAGAGAAAGACCCCGTTCTTGTCACCAGAATTAGTGGCAGATATTCCTAGCAACAAATCAAACATTGAACTACTAAAAACATTTTTTTATTATGAAGATGAAGAAGAAAAAATAGATACAAAACAACCAAAAACAGAAATGTTGTATCCTGAAGTTAAGGTGCAAAAACCAAAACATTGATGTTGCTCAAAATAGCAGACGACTGAATCACAAAGTACATAATCTGTGAGATTAAGTCGGAATAGATGATCACGGAATTTTTTTTAAATGGAAATTTGATTACCTCCTAGAAAAAAATTGTAAGACGATGATAGAGAAAACAGAAGAACACCCCCCCCCCCCTACCAAAAACAATGCACATTTAAATCAGTGATTCTCAACCAGTGTGCCGCGAAATTTTGAACGGTACACTAAGAAAATGGGTAAAACCACGTAACCCCAGTTGAGTATTCACTGGTGTCTACTGGTAAGTTCATAGCTGTGTTTTTCTTTATTCAGTTTGAGTCATTCTATGTGTCTTTGACTTGAATGTGTTTACGGTTGTATGCCGTCTATGACTTGCCATGTTTTTATTTTGCAAAATTCAAAAATTTTTCAATATATTTAGCCAGGTGTGCCGCTATTTTTTCATGTGTTCCAAGGTGTGCCGTTAGAAAAAAAGGTTGAGAACCACTGATTTAAATTTATACTATTGTTCGATTATTATTTTTGACTCTTTTGTAATTAAAGTTATAAATTTTTAGTTATCTCCATCTTTCTTTCCTTTTTTTGAGTTTTTTTTTTGTTGAAAAAGCGAAATGAAAAAAAAAAGGTTTTTGACATCTGTTTTTTTTAAAGAGAAAGCTACATTCTATTCGAAGTCATTTAAAACTACACTTGATTATTGGAGGTTTTAGCATTAAACAGCAATGCCAGTATCGATACGGCTATAATTCTTTTGAGTCAAGTTTTAAAAACTATTGTGCAACATTTATATACAAACTGATCTTATTGAGAACGAGTGGTGATTAGTATAACAGTAAGAAAACAATCCCATAACAGCAATAAACAAAATAGGATCAAAGAACAGAAATAGCTATTGAATAATATTCTTTAACCTTTTATATCTAAAAACGGAGACTGGCGTGGTCATCGCCAAGAGGAGTTTCGGTTAGGTTTGTGTTTTAATATAACATATTTTATAGTCTCCTCGTGTTGACGGAGAAAGTTCCTTTGGTATTTTCTGGTGTGGTTTGCCCTTTTCAGTGGTGAAAAATAGGGGACCAGGGGCCTGTTTCACGAAATTTTAACTAAGATAAAATCCAAATTTTAGTAATTTGATTGGATAAAATTAGATTTGATTTTAGTGCTTAGCCAATCAAAATTGAAGTATCTACTAAAATTTGGATTTTATCTTTAGTTAAGATTTCGAGAAACAGGGCCCTGGCAACGAACGTATACACGTTGACATGCACATAAAAGAACCCTTGACAGTTGGAAAGAGATAAAAGTAAGCGTCGTTGTCCGGGAAAAATATTCCTCATAGCATACTACATGGTGTAGGCCTATGTCCGTCTTCATTAGCCCGGATCATGCAAAAAAAGTATGACGATAACCCCATTTTATTTATAAGATAATATTTTAAGAGAAAAGTGTCACCCATGGTGTTCTTATGACTGCCACGAATCTTGTAATTTGTGTGGCTTATCCGATGCCGTTTTCAAATACAAATTCAACAATCGGTTTGTTAAATTTGCCAGCTATCCATTTCGGGTACATGTATATTGTTTTTATTTGGTATAGAACTAACTTGATCTTATATCTATTCCAGACGGAAGTCGTTTATCGAAACCCCGCAGACTGAAAACAAAAGTTATATCTCCTACTGCAATAAAAGTACAGTGGAAAGATCCCAATAATCATAAACTTGTTTCAAATTTAATATATAAAGTGAGGTACTCTAAAACACGTAAAGGGAAGGTGTATAAAACTATAAATACCAAAGATAAGAGTATAGTTATAGAGGAATTGAAGCCAAATACAACTTATCAATTTTCCGTGCGGGCCCAGGAAGGCAAGGGTCGTGACAGAGTTAGTTCGTGGAGTTTGACAGCATTAAATAAAACCCTGAAACAAGGTAAGTAAATATAAAGAATAATTTAATACAAGGATGCATTAAAAAAAACTTTGTAAAAAGTGTAGTTGCCTGGACTTGATTAAAATCCTGATCTAACCGGTCAATTAAATCTCGAAACTTAATAACACACTCGGTAATTGTTGATAAAGTACTAAATTATTTAGAGCTTTAAGGTAAACATCTTTATGCGCAACTGTCTATCAGTGCAGTATTATGACGTGTACGTGTTGGTTTAGGAGCTCCAAAGTTGAATGCGAAATAAATAATGTTCAAATGTGAGTTATATAAAACCCCACTATTGCACACTGCCTCTGGGGTGCGCATAATAGATTCTCCGACGCTCAATGTTGTGATTCTAACCTGTCAATTATAGGAATATATTCTTGAAATATTGCGGCTGTCACTTTTCTAATAGTACGTCCAGGGGGACCACAACAAATCTTTTGTGCTGACAGACTGAATACAGAAATTATATTAATACAACACTACTAATGTTTGCTACTCAAACTACCATTAAAACTTATTTCCTCCATAAAGAGGTTGCTTCCGTTAAAGCTCCATTATGTTTATAAATTTTACACATACTGTATTTACATATTAGAAGTATTTATGTGATGAATTTCTATTGAAAAGACTGACTCACAAGTCCTTTGACATACTCTCGGTGTTGAATATATATCTGTTGGTTATTAGTTTACGCTATTGCAATAGGGTATTCAAAGTCGAGGTCAATAAATACAAAATAGTGTAATATGGCTGAGTTTTATCAGGGAAACGACAAGCATCACTTATACTACAATACTAGGCAAACACAGAAACACCATTGTTATTGAAATAGATCTGTGATGATAGAACCCACAGGCAGTTCTTTGATGAAGGCGTTAGATTTTAACCACCAGTCTCAGTACCAGCACTTTGGGTGTCAGTAATAGACTCTTAAATCGTATACATTCTAGTGTAGTGGGTCAACTGAGAAATAAGTATATTGACGACTGAGGTATACTATTACATATTTACGGAAATTAACGACGCGATATTTAAAATGGTAATATTTGTCGTATAGTTTGAATGCCATCAGATTTCTGGTTTCGGTCGGTATTGAGTTTCATATCCAAATGAGTTACTCAATTGTCGATTGCGTTGTTGTCTTTAATCTCTAGCTTACCTAGAATGATTGCTAGAAAGATCCATTTTTATCTTGCAAATGAAATGAAATGGGGTTTAACGTCCTACTGTTCTGCTCCGAACTGGGCTAATGAAGACGAACATACGCCATACAGTGTGCTATGAGGAAAATTTTGCCCGGACAGCGGCACTACGGCCTACTCTTATATCGAATTCCAACTTCAAGGGATCTTTACGTGCACGCCAATGTGTACACGGGACCTCGATTTTTCGTCCCACCCGAACGACTAAACAGCTCTCCTTGCCAGACCCTCCTTCCTGCAATACTGACAAGGAAGAACTACGCCGGAAAATCTGGATGAACTTTCTTGGTCAATGCACCCGAACCTACATGCTAGCGAGCCAGCTTTTTACTCACTTAACCACCGTGGCCCCTTTTAATCTTGCAATTCTGACAGAGGGCTTGAATAAGGAGGCATGAGTACTAGTAAATTAAACCTATATTATCACTGACTCTTAGAGGTATTCAATGATGCATGTACTACATCATCTACCTACGAATGAAATTGAATTGTAGAATGGCACATAGTTATTACCCATAGGAATAGCAGTTACCTCCATGGGGAAAATCCCTTTTCGAATTCCACGCACAGCGGTGCATCTTTCTTGAGAACAAAGTGATTTTTAACAAAACAAGTAGAGGTGTATTGCACAATTGAACTTGATATCAACTGGTTTTATGTTTAGGAAAGAAAACACACGGTGAACTAAATCGTTTAAAGGGGCTAAGTCGCTAATATTTGGGACCTAGAAATTGACACAAATGGGTCGGAACGCATACAATAATGTAATATGAATGTATATAAATTGATTTACATTCAATCGTTTCTGTTTTTACTGTAATTTCTAATCAGTTAGGTTCGGCGACATACGCCAGTATTCTCAATCGAATTTCAATCTCTAGCTTCTGGTTATTCCAGTCTACGCCGATAGCATTTATTGGGCATGCTCTCCAGATAAGAATTTGACATGACTTGTGGAATACGCCTAGCCTCGTTTTTCGAGTCCCTTATTACACATAGCGCTGAAACGCATTATATGGTACACGATTCGTGTACCAATTGTAAAATGTTTATTTTGTCTTAAATATTGGATATCAGAAGGCCATCTTTTCCCGGTAAGATCACAACATCAATGTTGATTTAAACCGACAAATAAGTCGTGTTTTCAATGTCGAACATTTTGGATTATATTGAGTTAGAGACTTAGCTACTTTAATTGTGCCAAGACAGCAACTTTACGTCCAACTTTCCTAGTAGGTATTTGGGACCTTTAAGTATTGACGCCACTGTTGAATAAATATTATCACAGTATTTCTGACATCACTCCATTATAGATATTTTTGGACAGAGATTATGTGGAGCATAGAAAAGACCCAGCTATATAGCATTCCTTGAAGGTTTTTGTAAAGCTTTGTTAGGACTGCACATGGCCTGTAAAATTTCTTGTTCGATTTTTCTATTTTAAGTATCTGGCACGGCTTCAAAGCTAAAGGCTGTTCCTTTGACATCCACGTCTATATTACTGACATGGAAATTACCTCCCCAAAGAAACAGAACCTCTGGATTTTATGTATTATGGTCAGAAGTAGACGAAGATGCACGGGAAAGTCGAGTAGCGGTTTCCAAGCAATCGAATTCCTCACTCTTCAGGGACTTGATACCAGATTGCTTGTACAGTTTTCGTGTGGTAACGTTAAAAGCAAACGGTGTAGAAAAGAGCACACACAAAATATATGCGCGTCCATACCAAGCTCGACCTGCTCAAGCACCCCGAAATGTTTCTTTTGCGCTTTTAGAAAATTCGGTAAGTTTAAGTATGAATACACCTTTAACTGTAATGTACAGACATCGATTTTCTAGTCATATATTGGGTTTTTACGAAATACAAAGCGCTTCTAAGAAGGAAATTGTGCTCTTTAATATACTAAACTTGACAAATAAAGGCACCATACATTAAAATGCTGATGGTGCGAAAATTGTTTTCTGTATTATCATATTTCAACAGGTATTACAAGTGACCTGGTTACCCCCACCAGTAAGACAGAGACATGGTACAATATTAAGCTATAAACTACAATATACCAGAAAGGGGGCTAGAAGGGGTGATATATGTACTATAACTAGTTCTGATAAACCACGGATATATAATCTTACAGGTAATTATTGATCTGTTGTTTACCTTAAATATGCATTATGTAAGATTTAGATAAAGGGCTGGTCGTTCTTGCTATAATAGTTCAAAAATAGATAATGCAAAATGAATATTTTGAAAATTTCATTCAAATTACTTTATTCTGAGCTAAGTTATTACTGTTTGTAGTTTTTACAAGATGTGTGTATTAATTGTTTATTATCGTAACCGCGGTACTGGTTATTCGAGACTTAGTCTCGCTTCTCGATTTTTTAAAATTAAATCATTGAATGGCCGAACCATTCTAATTTACTTAAAATTGGAGCCATCCGATGGCCGAGAGAGTTGATTATGGGCTTGTCGTGTTAATAAATGGCTAATTAATAATTTATATAAAATTTTGAAAGGCGTAAAGAAAGACCTGCAAAAGGCAGATTTAGGTCTTTAATAACGCACCTTTAAAAGGGACATAAAATGGTCACACAAAGGTGCTATGTACATAAAGAAATTGTTTACCACAAATATCATTAAATTTCATTCATAATTCAAAGAAACGTCTCTAATCAAATATGGACCTGCCCTAAAAACAATTTTGACATTTATATAAAACACTCTAAATTTTCCCAGTGACATATCAGTGACCATATGTTTATTAGGAGTGTGTGTCATATCAATATAAATTCGAGTAAGCCATTAGCCAATAATACACCTATATAATAATAAACAAAGGTTGCCAGCTTATGTAAGAAACCGGGTTCTCAAATAATGTATTTGTTATTGTGGGAGTTTATCTAGTAATCTATAATAATACTACAGTAGGCCTATGTTTTATACGGACATTGCTTCTTTTACTTCAGAATTAAGACGAGGTGAGACATATCGCATAAGAATTGCTGCAAGAACTGTTAACGGAACAGGACCTTACTCTAAATGGGCACCAATAGACATTCCCCTGAAGTGGAAAGGTAGGCTTGCATAACCGAGAACTATGAAATTCAATCCATGTCTCTCCAATATAGTATACAGCGAATGAATCGGATGATCCACTGAATTAATATACGTTTACTAAATTACAATCGTCATTGCTTATGGTGGTATATTAGATTCAAAATTCTAACGTGATGTCGTCTAATCTCTAACTTCTATTCATGTAATTTTTAACTTCTATTCATGTAATTTCTAACTTCTATTCATGTAATTTGTTTTATCCAACTTCTTTATTTTTATTTGTTCAGTCTTAATTTGAATTCTATTTCATCTTGTTTCTATTATTTAGACGAAAAACTTCTTCATTGACGCTGTACACGTTTATGAACATCCAATAAATTTAGAACTTTTACACTTCTGCGTAGCAACCATCATTACGAAGTCGTTTGGTGTCGACACTACATGCCCAGTTTGGTGATTGAGCACCTGATCGGGACCACTATGTATGGTTTAATGTTCGAGAGCGAGACATTAAGTAATATATTGATACTGCACGAGGCGTTAGCCGAGTGTTATTTCAATATATTACGCAATGTCTTTAGCTCGAGAACATTAAACAACATAAAATACAGACACTATCCCACACGTGCGTTTCAATGAAATACGTCACACGAGTCCAATATTTCATCTAGTATAGATAATGTACGATTGGCAAGTTACCCGTACATTATTGAAAATAATGGTACGCCAACATCAAAGGATGACGTCACATCTGTATTTTAAAAATTACATGAATAGAAGTTAGAAATTACACGAATAGAAGTTAGAAATTAGACGATAGCATGTTAAAATTTTGAATCTAATATACCGCCATAATTGCTTACGTCTGTTATTTTATCAGCCAATTGCATAGTGATTCTTCCAGGGAGCCGAAGAAAATCAAGTAAAAAGAACCAAGCTGATCAAAAACAGAAAACGATACCTATACCCACAACGACCACGGCAAGATCACCTAATGATGGTTATCCTGAGATGCCAGAAGGTTTAAATGCCACAGCTTTGTCTAGTACCAGTATAAAACTAAGTTGGAATATACCATCGTCGCCAGCCTGTTGTCCTATTGTAGCTTATACAATACATGTTACCAATCTCGACAGTATGTACATGTGTTATCTGTTTGACTAAAAGAAAACCTTGAGACTAGATATGTATCTTTTTCTACTTTTTCGCTATGTTAAAATTGATACTCTGGACAAAACATATCCACGCAACACTCGACTCAAATAATATTATGTAAAGTGTTGTGATTGATATTGCAGACCTTAAAGATGAAAAGGAGTTGGTTACTGGACCAAATACAGTAGAAATCATAGAAGATCTTGATCCATCAACCTACTATGGTTTTAACGTGACAGCTTTTAATACACAAGGCGTTAGTCATGATTCAGAAGAAATAATACAGAAAACAAAAGAACCGGGTAATTAATTGAATAATGTCCTACTTCCTTTGAAATGCAACAATCTTAAAAATAAATAGAAATGGAAAGTTTTTTCTAGTCACGTTAAGTTTTATTTCTTGTAACCCATGTTTTACTTCTAATGTTTTAGTTCCACCACGGATTGTAAAGATTAACCATTCTGATTCTGTAGAAGGTGGTATAGTAAATATAACATGTATAGCTACTGGTGACCCTTTACCATGGGTATCATGGCATAGTACCAACTCTACAGCAGTAAGTAACATTGAATACAGTTTAGAATTCAATAACATATATATATATTTACCGGCAATTCATGGAGTGCAACTACCCGCTAGAGCATATTTATTATATAACTAATTTGGGGTTTTGGACAAACTTCCAGAAATCACGTTAAATCGAAATGATGTGTAAACATCTGGGCTAGTCATTATTTCGACGATTTAAGCGTATGATTTGATATTAGGAGAACAAGCTTTAGGCTTTGAAAAATAAAAAACTGAGCATTCCATTTCTTTGCAATAGAAGGAGAACGCCCCGTGTATATATAGTTTTTTAAGCTTGTATTGGAATGAAAGCCCACAACTTCACACTTAAATTTAACAGAGATCAATCGACCTACAACTCCTTAAGCCAATTCACGCCCGTCAAGAAAGAAGCAATTTATAAGTTACTTCTGTAGCAGTCGGCTCAACCATGTTTTGTTAAATTTAGCTATTGCTCTATTAATTGTATTAAATTTGTTCAGTAAGTTATACTTTTAAATCGCCGACTCGGATCGATTATCATTCTTATTTATTTTACAATATATTGTCCACTCATGTGGGGATTATAGCGTCTCGTCTAATCTCATTCAGAATAAATATAACAATATCACGAAAACTACAGTCTATTTACTTTACAGGACTATACTCATTTAAAATCATTGTAATCAAATACTCTAAATCAATATACAACGATATGAAAATGTCCATAGATAATATTTATTCCAAGTCACATATAACGGATAAAATCTTATTGGATTTTAGTTTGCCCAGACACATTCTGAGATTAAAAGTTTCAATAATCGTCAGCCAGAAAAGGGAACTAATGAAATGACTGTCATGTTTCAAGATGTTAGTACTAGACAAGCTGGTAAATATATGTGTTTAGCCAAAAATATAGCAGGATCGGTCAACTCTACTTTAGATTTACAAGTCAATGGTAAGTGGACAATCAATAACAGAAAACTTTATCTGACAACAAAGAGAACAAATTCATTAACTATTGTATGCCATTTTTGTACCATTTAATACTTTAATATACTTATTCATAGAGCATGTCTTCAAAATATTAGTGACTATAATAAATAAAACTTCAACGATAAAGGGTGGCTTGATTTTACATGCAAACATTTCCGTAAATGGATCTCACTACAACTACCACCGCCATTCTTTAGCCGATTCAATGAGTGAGGTCAGAACGACAAGTTTTGTTAGAATTGCGTCAGTATTAGTGTCTAGCTGCGCCCCTAATGTGATGTCCAGGTTAATAGCAAAACAATTACGCTTTGAAAATATATTAATTTTTGAAACTGAAACCAATGCTTAATTACATCAATTAGCTTGTTCTAATTACATGTACATGATTAATTGTGATCCAGGCACTGTTTTGACCTCAAACAAATTTAGAACATTCTCTCAACTTTAAAAATGATGCGAATCCAACACTTGTGCCCCGATCGCTTTTCCCTAGTGACAGTTTCCCATTGTTTAACATTAGCCCCGATAGGACAGGAACATTATCCTTACATGTAAAGTCGTAGATAATTTCCTCTAAATGTTGGCTATGTTGTCGCCGAATATCATTATTCAGATTTAAGAACCCCATGGTTTTATACAAAACACTTAGGCATCAAATTTCTGGAAATTATCGAAGCGGGATAAGTGGAAGCCATATTGAAATTGGTTTCCAGTAACACTAGTGTTGTCTGAAGCCCCTAGCTGTAATTATCTCCCATTTTGCTGGACACTTTATTTGAGATCAACAGTTTAAAGTTGTTTGTGTTATATTACATCAAAAATACCTACTCTAACACTACTTTTAGTCTCAACCGTTGTTAAATTGTCAGTGATAGTCGTTTCATTTCAAGACATTTGTTGTTGGTTATTGTATCTGGTTTTTTTTAAAAATTTTTATTATACAGTCCCAGTAAGATTTACCAAGATTGAAGGTGGTATTGCTATGATAGAATCGTCTGTAAATCTGACATGTGCTGCGAGTGGTGTCCCTTTGCCCTCAATAACTTGGTTAACTCCAGATGGTTTGGAAGCCTATACAGATGAGAGGGCTGTGAGTAACATTCCACGGGGACCATTTCATGAATAACCTGACAGTGGTTCTTTACTAGATGTAAATCTCTGCAATCACGAGATAAACAATATTTGTAGAGTTACCAGAGAAGAATTTTCTGGAATTTTCTAAGTCTTCCTTCTGGTTTTAAAGATTCTGTCAACTTGTTTGATATTAAATATTTCGGGAAAAAGAACAATAATTTGCAAATAACTGAAACACGAGGAACTGAGTTTAAAATTGATCTTATAATTTTCGGCTCCCCAAACTATGAGTCCATTGAATATCTTGGGCTGTATAATACACCCCACGTATCATTATAGCCTACTTTTGTATAAGAATATTACATACTATGGTGTGCTATCCACACAAGAAAAGCTCAAATCTAGCGTCTATTCGTTTCTATTTCTATTCTCATATGTATAGTAATCAGTTGCTGTTACCTTAATAAACAGTGTACTTAACGGTATCGTCGAATACTATAATACCATTATAGCCACATTCTTCAAATGAGAGGGTAAATTAAACTTCCCCAATTCAATTAATAATTCATTTTTTTTTGATACTTTTAACGTTAGCACATTCACTAGGTTTTAATAAAATCACCGATAAGAACCGACAAGGGCGGTTTGTTGTCAGTAGCTCCCACGGTGTTACATTCTACGCATCAAGACCAAAATTTCAATGATTTGATAAAAAAAAACCCATAATAATTGGAATTTTGACAAAAGCGTTCCTACTAGTTACCGACAAGAGTGGTTTTTTTATTTGTTTTTTTTTCTTTTGGGGCGGGGGGAGGGGTAGTAGCGCCCTAACTATTACAAAACGTGACCTACAAGGAAATATATGGTAAAAATTTTAAATTTAATTAAAAATTAGAAAAAAATTATGGATAATTGAAATTTTGACAAAAACGGTCTTACAATATAAGTGAAGACATGGGTGGTTTTCAACTTGAACTCTTGTCTTGAGAATATGGTATAGCTCATGTCGGGATACAGACTCCGCGTTGATTTCAACTAGAAACTGCATTAATCCTTCATACTTTCTTTTGTTTTATTTTGGAAAAAAAAGACTATATTTGAATGGATTGAACGCGAATCAGAGTATGAACATGTTGGTACTTTGGAGGTTTTGTATAATGTTTTACGTCTAGAGGATATTGTCATGGCGGATGGTGGTAACTATACTTGCCTAGCACAGAATGATGTCAACTTCTCCAGGAGAAAAGCTGAACTACAGATTGAAGGTAAGTAGCTAGGCAGACTGGCTTCCAGTTAATAGGAGTACATGTACTAGTTATCCCATAATACTATTCTAATTTGAGTAAAACTCACTTCTTCGGTGGACTTTTACACACGTCACTTAATTGACGTGAACATCCGATTTGAGCCAGCGAAAAGAGATTATTTCCACCAGATCTGAACGGCAAATCACACCACTACGTAACGTGGGATAATTCCGTCAGAATTTAAACACGAAATGAAAATAAAACGAAACGAAGTAATAATATTGCACAGTCTACATAATAGGCCGCATAGTCTGTTGTGCTGCATGCTCTGTGCATACTCTAAACCCTAAGAAAGCTATATGATGATCTGCATTTTACTTAAGAGTTACCGGAGCAGATCGGCGACAATCTGATTTACTAAACATTGCCTTTCTAATGACAATCTGTGAAAATATCAGATGTTTAGACCAACTGGTTGTCCATATACCCCACGTCATCGACGTCTCCTTGCTTCGCAAATATATCATTTTTAACCACTTTCTTGATATAAACAATGGACGTCATACAGTCACGTCGCGATCTTTAAAATGAGCGTTCAATTACTTGAAATTGAATATATTTTATCATTATTTAAGACAATGCTAGAAAAATTATATTCTTTCAATAATATATATGTATACTATACTAATGTACTAGCAGTAGCTAGGTATCTTATAGCATTGTCGTCCTTTATATAATTCCCCCGTGACGCCCCACATCTACACATGATTTGCAATTCTTCGAATATTTTCAGTTCCGCCTCCACCACCAGTGTTAAACCTGCAGGTCTTTCCTGTATCACCTTCAGTAGTTCTAGTTTCCTGGACGAGACCAGAATATAATTTTACCATTACCTCTTACAAAGTTATTTATCGTAAAAAGGAGTCTGGAGTAGAGGAATCTATTGATACTATGGAACAGTCGTGTCACATCAGCGATCTCACAGCGGATAAATTATATAAAATTAAAGTGTTAGCTTTTAACAAAGGACACGGAGATCCGAGCAGAATAGAAATCAGAACTCTGCGAAACAAGAACCTACAACCAGCCAACGTTTCCGCCGTTGCCCTAAATACCTCGGTAAGCATACAAGATCGTTCCTGAACTATTTATACAAATAATGTGAAATTTAATAATGTACTTGGTTAACATATATAATATAGGTATACGCGGTGAGTTAAGCGGTGACTCTCTAAACAGAAGGTCTCGGGTTCGCACCCTGTGTTGGCCGAGGAGGTGCCTTGGGATATTCCGACCTGGCTTTCCATCGTTCGAATGGGACGGTAATCCGAGGTCTCGTATACACTTTGACGTGGACGTAAACGAAGCCCTGACAGTTGGAATTCGAAATAAGAGTAGGCTGTGGAGCCTCGTAGCACACCATTTCATTTCATCTTCATTTCTTATATAATATCAAATTATGGTTGTTAACTTTCATTTTGTATGTATTTAGTGCCAAGTTGACGATGAGCGTAATACTCACGCCTATCTCAAAGAAAGAAAGGTGAAGGCGCCCATACACCCACATATGCAACTAAAATTACTTGTCATCTATGGAAGTAGTCGTTCTATTTCAGATAATTCGACTTGATTGGGAAGCCCCCTACGGTATCGACAGAGTGTATATAAAAGGCTATTTTATATACTATAGAAAAGAGAATGGTTCTAATGAAGAGAAATTATACACCCATGGCAGCAGAAATAAACAATTCCTTATAGGTAATAGCCTATTCATATAATAAAGACATTATACTTAACAAAAAACAGTAGTTGCACTGTCTTTCAAGTGCACATAAGATGGCCGACATTACTTTTCGGTATAGCCAATGGTTACTATTGCTACATTCGTTACCGCTTGGAAATATCGTGTTTCCCACTAGGAAATAGTAAATACCACACTTGTCGTGTTTGGACAAGTGGGAAAATCAACATGGCTGTCATTATCCATTCAAGGATTATTAAAACTCCTAATCTGTGAAATTTAAATCGCTAAAAGGAATATCAGTCCAAAGACGTATCCGTTCGGTTCAGTATTTACAAAGATATGATGAATTGAAAATTTATTATCGTTCGGCATCTAATGCACACGATAAAAACAAGCCAGTGTAACCCTAAAATATTGGTCAATCTTTTGATGGGCTTATTTTAAATCCAATTTAATTCAAGCTAGAATATATCTATTTTGGTTTAGTTTTCTTAATTAAATGTTAAATAATCAATCTAAGAACAATTTATCGTACATTAAGCCGTGAAAAATTAGATAAAGTCTATTGTCGATTAGCGGCACGGTCAATTAGCTTAGCATAATTAATTGTTACGGTATGTAGACATTTTAAATTCAAAGAAACGTAGGACTTTAATCCCGAAAAGACCTAGTTTGTGCCGATTGGGCGGTAAACCACAGTTACTGAAACATTTGTGTTGATATAGTCCGTACGGTCCTAAAACCCGAACTGCCGTACGGTACAAGAACAAGTTAGTACAAAATGGAAAGACGGGTATTTTTCTCGTTTTCTGTTTAATGTATTTCTTGTCATTGTTCGGAAAATGTATCCCAATATGTAAAATTCTATAAATCACGTATTCAGATAGATATACACATCCACAACAAACAAATAACTACAAAAATAGTAATTTACCGTTCAAAACGTTCAACTTTGTAACTTTGGCTGCCATATTGTTACGACATATGTCGTGAACTCGGTATATTTAGCTACGCCAGTTCTCAAGTAGAAATCATGACTTCCGAACCAGTTTTTATAGTTACGAACGCTATTTACCAATTCGTTAGTCGTATTTTCCATAAAACCGAGGAGTAACGAATACAGCATAAATCCACTTTACGGCAAGTTCACACCAATCTGATTAAAATTAATTCAGCTATTAACGTTTAAGTATCCGGCACTCCAAAACGCTTTCAATTTTTCTATTACGACCTTAATCCGATTGATTGGCTAGTGACGTCACAGGGACTACACATAGTATATACATTATCTATACAATATATCACTGTCTGTACAATATATCACTGTCTATACACACCACCAGTTGACTAGTGTCTATTGAGGGTCCAATTAAACATACATTATGCAAGAGCTAAATCTGCCTATTGCAAGTCTTTATTTAGGCTTCAGATGTTGTAGAAATTATTAATTAGACCTTTATTTACGCGACAAGCTCAAAATCAACTCTGTAGACCCACGGATGGTTTGGATACAGTTTGGATTTAAACAGTCGTCCATTTAAAATTAAATCAATAAATGGCGGAACAAGCTAACGTTTACCGTTAGTCGCTGATGTCACTACCGGAAACTGGTAATGAAAGGCCTGCCAAGTGAGGCTACCATAACCATTGATCATGTTACTTGATAAACGAGAATATGTGGGTGGCGTTATCGTCTGTCAATCAAACGATCGCCAATACTCATACACAGTGCAGACACAATTGATGCCTATTTCTAGTCCAAACTTCCAACAGTGACAATTCCGTTCAGAACAAAGTAATTTGACTGAACATTTTCTTTTTTATCATCTATTTTTGAATTATTATAGCAAGAATGGCCAACTCTTTATAAAACTCTTAACTAATGTATCTTTAAGGAATAAACATTCCGAATTCACCGTGACGTCACTGGCGTCTGGGGGGATTAATAGTGTTTTCGATAATTGGCAAAGTCGTTTTTACGGGAGGTCTGTTTTTGCGACTTTGAGTGAAGATAGCTGAATTAATTTTAATCAGATTGGTGTGAACTTGCCGTAAAGTGGATATAGTAAGAATTGGCTATACCTACCGAAAATTTATGCCGGCCATCTTATGAATATCTTATACTAGTGCAATGTCATAAACAGCTGGCTTCATCGTTAAGTAATTCCAACCTAACTTCTAAAATAAGATATTATTGAATTTAAAAACTAGGAGATACACACTTCCTATTTCGAATTTAGATAGATGTTATTGTGCAATAGACATGCCCTGAGATCATTAGGACCCAAGATGTTAAGGAATTAGTTCGTAATGAATCACCACAAACTAAGAGGGATGTTATTGCCCAAAAGATGATGAATTTCAGCCAATCCGAATCCGAATCGATGAAATTTCAGATTTGTGCTGCAATAGCCATAAACTATTATATTTCAGGTTTAGGAAAACAAGATATCTACTTTTTACGAATTGCAACATTAATGACTTGGGGTGATGAATTTCCCTCTCAGTGGATAAAAATAAAGAAATCGGCCCAAGGTTTGTATATAATATATTATATCTCTAATAAATTTGATACAGAAGAAGTATGTTTCGAGAAAGAAAATATATGTCGCATGTTTACAAAATATGTCTAATATGCAAATTTGTATTACATTATTGTATGTACAATCCACTTTCTACCATTCAAACATTGGGCCAGTGTATGATAATAGATCTTATGCTTTTTTGATATCTCTCAACAGAACTGCTACCACCTCCAGAACCAACCAACGTGTTCATTACTCCAGCCTCCGAGAAAGTTCGTATTACCTGGCAGTCACCTGTCGGTAAAGGACAGGGTCTGAAGGATTTAAAGGGTTATAGAATTGTGTATGGACCAAAGGACGACACTACTGCCAAAATTAAGAAAATTCGGGTATCCAAATTTGCTACAAGGCACACAATAACAAGTCTCCGTAGGTATTAAATTGACGTGTTTCAGCCGAGTAAGAAATCAATTGTTGGATTGCAAGGGTAGTATTCGTGAATGTTAGCTAGTGTTATAAGAACATGTTAACAAAGACATCTTTTTGTAAGCAGTATTTTGATATATAATTCACTAACCCAGATGATCTTTAATTTAGATCGTTACATCTTATAATACTTTCTCTTATAGTTCCAGGGACGGCTTATATTATATCTCTACGGTCATTTAATGATTATGGCGAGAGTTCTCCGATTTATCTACGAACTACTACAAAAGGTTGGATATTTATTTTCGTATGGGCGTATATGAAATGTGCCTTTTTGAGGTGTAAAACTCGAAATAATTGGGCTGTACTGTACTCTTGTTCCCTTTTTGTTTCGGGTATTGTTTACATTAACAGTACACTCTAACAACATCAAGCTAGATTGTTCACTTATATTTCAAAAATTAAAAATATGTACTATTTAATGTAGAAATTGTTATGTAGATACATTCCCGCTTAAAACTGGGTGATTTGATGATATATTTGGACTAAAAACATATTCAATCTAATTAATCTGGGGGGAGGGGCTTGGATGGCCGAATGGTTAGCACGTGCGTGCTGTATCATAAGGCCTGTCATTGAGTCGACTGGCGTGGTTTCGAACCCCCGGTTGTACGTGACAAGAAGTAGGGTCGCCTGCCCAACCTCGTGGGTTTTCTCCGGGTCCTCCGGTTTCCTCCCCCTACGCGCAAGCGAATTATTGAAATAAAATTAAACCATATGTTTGTCCCGAAATGACCTAGTTTGTGTCGAGTGGACGTTAAACCCCATTTCTCTTCCTCTCTCTAATTAATCTTTCGAAATTTTGGTTCAAATCCTTCTCAAAACATTATATTCGCAAGGGAATATCCCTGCTATAAAAATATATATTAAAAGAGGTCAGGTTTGTTTTACGTGACTTGGCTGACGCGGTACCTAGCAACGGGAGCGAAGCAAGAGGAGAATTCATTGCATATACAAGGCGATGTTGTCTTTAATCGCTGTTCATTTATTATAGGTATCGAAGCCTAATTAAATTCTCGGATTATCCACTGCCCACGCCTTTTTCCGCGGTTTTTATCCCAGAACCTGTTGTACGCGTAAGCTTACCATCTAGTTTATCAAAATATACATCAAACGCTCACAAACACTGAGAAATCAGACAATCTTCGCGTGCAACCTTTGGCGTCACTCGAGCAGACATCCCTAATCGTCGCGTTGCCGGTGAGGGAAACCATTACATTTTTGTCCTGTGTGCGCTCCATGGGGAGGTTTTCTAGTAAGATTGGATGTTTCTACTTTCCATATATTATCCCAAAATTGTCATACTTTTATTGGAAATAACCACCCGATAAATACTTTTCTGGGAGGTTTCTACGACAAATATATCAGGGTTATTATTACTTTACTATCTGAGAAAAATACAGGTGGCGAGATTAAACCAATAGAAGCCATTCAAAATTAGAAATGTCCAGAACGTTTTTATTAGTAAATGTATATATACTAAACAGCAAAAAAAAAAACCCCAAAAAAACAACGTCAGTACGATTTCAAAATCAGAGAGGCACTTTAATCAAATCATTCTAGAAAACGACTTACTAAATGGATTAAAGCAATTTTTTGTGAACAGTATGTTGACACATTAGTGATTAATTCATCACAATTCCAAGACATTACGAGTAGGTTTAGAGTCTGTACACAGTCTATACACCAGTATCTGGTGTGTCCACCACGAGTGTCAATAACAGCAGCGCAGCGTCTGTACATAGAGTGGACCAGACGATTGATGAACGCCATTGGCACCTGGAACCACACTCTCAGAAAAGCCTGGCTGTGTTTGGTCTCAGTACAACGTTATTAAGTCTCCCCTTAATTTCATCCCAAAGATGTTCAATCGGGTAAGTCCGAACTAAGGGCTGGCCAGTGCATAACGTTGGCACCGTTCCGCTGTAAAAAGTCCCGAGTAACTCTGTCGGTGTGGGCACGGGCGTTGTCATGCTGGAAAACGTTGTTTCGATGACGTGCGAAATGTAGTATGACGTGGGGTCTGAGACCTTGATCGATGTAGCGTACTGCTGTGATGCCGCCTCCTCACCCTGGACCAAGATTTTGGAACACCACAGGACCCACTCTCTGGTTCAGGCCGATTAAACCCCAAACCATAAGCTTGGACCTCCCCATGAGTCTCGTTCCATGACATCTGCAGTTGATACACAATACCGACTCTCATCTGTGAACAGAACAGTTCTCCATTGCCTGTGTCGCCAGTTCTAGTGTTGTTGGGCACACTGTAGACGTTCATGTCGATGGCGAGGGGTGATGGTCGGTCCACCGTAAGGTCTACGGCAATGAATGTTATCTCTGGTGAGATGTCGGCGCACTGTATCGGTACTGATGGGTCTTCCGTGTGTTCCCACTGTCTGACGTGCTGTCTCAGATGCCTGTGTGAAGGGATTCTGCACGTGCTGTCGCACAACATGGCGGTCTTGCCGCCTTGTGGTAACCCTTGATTACAATTCGGGGGCGATCATCCGTGGTGTTGGTGGCCCGAAAGCGTTGCTGAAGCCTGTAGATGGACCGAACATTACCCTGGAAGTGATTGACAATGGCTTGGGCAGTGTGGCCAGCGTCGAGTCTTCCAAGCGCCTGGTTCCTCTGATCTGTCGTGAATCGTGGCATGCTGCTGACGTTGTAGTGTGGATGATTCAACCAGGTATGGGGTGTATTTTATAGGGCTGATCCCGGTGAACAGCATGTGCAGTATGAGTTACATGAAAATCATGGAGAACAAATTACCATTTCAGAAGTCAGGTTGCTTTTTTGAGAACATTTCCTGGGTTCAATTCTGTGTTTGGGAAGGAGCCATATTGCTCAGGTACAGTTGGAGGTGTGGTCACAAATATACAATAAAAAAACAATTGGCAAGTTTTATGCAATGCGTCTATTCAGAGTAACATACCAACGTGGCTTTAAGTATGCAAATTAAACACCAAAATGTACTGAAATAGACCAAAGGCTTTGCTTGGAAGTTTTAATTCAGAATAATGATTCGTTTGGAAATATTAGCTTTTAATACGATTGAATAAATGAAATGAAATGAAATGGGGTTTAACGTTCTACCGTTTTGCTCCGTACTTGGCTAATGAAGACGGGCATACGCCATACAGTGTGCTATGAGGGAAATTTTGCCCGGACAGCGGCACTACGGCCTACTCTTATATCGAATTCCAACTGCCAAGGGATCTTTTACGTGCACGCGGGACCTCGGTTTTTCGTCCCATCCGAACGACTAGACAACTTTCCTTGTCAGCCCCTCCGTCCTGCATCACTGACAAGGGAGAACCACGCCGGAAAATCTGAATAAACTTTCTTGGCCAGGGATCGAACACCCGACCTCCAGGGCGATTGAATAAACCCACTTTATATTATTGCAGCAACGCGACCAGGACCTGTACAGAGTGCATCAGCAACACCCCTCTCATCGACCACTATTTTTGTATCATGGATAACACCGACTAAAGGTCAAGCTACCGATTACCACGTTCGTTACTGGCGACGCTTTAAAAACGATAAGCAATCCCAATGGATGAAAGCACCACAGACCAACATCACCGTGAAAGAACTAAGGAAATTCAGAGAATACAAATTTGAAATTATACCTTATCACGAAGGTGAAATTGGAGAAAGCACGGTTCTGTTTGCTAGAACTAAATCGGATGTACCAGATGCCCCTCCAAGAAAAATCAAAATGAAAGCAATAAATGCTACGGTGTGTATTTGTTAGTGTATTTTCTTCGTATTAGAGACCGTTTTTTTATATAGAAGGTTGTGTGATGTTTAAAATTTGAAGTTGTTATGTGTATGGTCATTTGGACTAAATAATTAATAATTTGATATTTCGTTTACTTTCTAACTTTTATGTTCAACACAACTCTCAGAAAACTCAGATAATGGTTGTGAGCGGAGGTATGGCACCTCACAGGAATGGGTATAGGAGTTGGTATCAGTGACCGCCCTTGTAATAGTTTCAAATAGAGCTCGAACAAGTGGAATCATCGTTAGCAAGAACAGATTGTTTGCGAAATGATAGCTAGTTCACCAGTCCTTTCCACATAATTATTTATGATTTCATTTTATAAATCAATATTCAAATGACTGGAAACCATATAGTTGCTGCATAATACATCCCTATTTAAAGAATACTTTATCATATTTATAAAATGTTCCATACAATTTTTGATGATATCATGAACATTTTCCAAACAATATCTTTTGATGATATCATGAACATTTTCTATGCAGGCGATGCGGATAAGATGGGACGTTCCACCTAAAGCATTACAGAATGGTAGAATAACCGGGTATAAACTAGTATTTAAAAGATTTAAATCTAATCGCCCTCTCGCTACATTTACCGTAGATGGAAATAGAAAGAACTATACGTTTTATGGTATGTTAATAAAGTTCTTAAATCTAATTAAGTATTAAATTTTGAAAATAAGACTGGCATACTGTTTGTGTGTTTTAACAAAACAAGTACGATCGTACTATCGATCAGGAACTAACTCTGGTCCATATTGTTGGATGAAGTCCAAAAATCTAATTCACCAAATCGATGCAGAATTGTGCAAAGAAGAAGCATGCCAATTTTCATGTCGATCGGACTTGAATTGACGGAGCCTTAGGCGTTTTCAAAGAGCGTCACCCCAAGAAGAAGAACAAGAACAGGACGAGTAGCGGTTAGCGACCAGTTCCTGGTCACAAAAATAATGAATAAAACAAAAAAGAGCCTGTGGTAACTATGGTAGTAATCGGTTTACAACCGTTTTCGACCCACCTTCTATGTGGTGGATTTAATCAGGGTTGCCGATCCGTATGACCAATTCCAGCATATAATTTAAAGTAGACTTGGCTGCTGTGCCATGTGGTGTCCTTTTATATGGCGACAACCAGTTTAAGAGAATACAATCATTGAAAATGAGAAACACACATAACTATTGTCCAAAGAACTCAAAATTTTCATAAGTGTTTATATAGACTTACACGTTTGTTTGTCTCGACGAGTATAACTTGTTTTCTTAATTTGTATTTATTTAAACACAGGCCTCGAATCCAGTATGCAATATAAAGCTAGGGTAGCTGCTATGACGATACGCGGTACAGGTCCTTACTCCAAGTGGCACTCCGGAAAAACACTAGAAGTTGGTATGTTTATTTTTCTCATTAAATGAATGATTTGAATTTCTTTCAGTGGATATGTTCGGTTAAATAAGTGAATTAGAATGTTTCCAAATGACTAATTTTAATGGTTTATACTTACACAGGCACACATTCAAGATGTTTAGTGTACATTCACGTCTGGTTTTCACAGATTAATTACAAATTATTTTATCTTAATATAATCAAAAATCTCAACGCATACCATGTTTCAGAGAAGCTACCACCGGAACGACCAGCTAGTCTAACGTTACTAAGTACAGAACGATCTATTCATATCAGCTGGACATTACCCAGATATACAGGTGCTTCTATTGATGGTTATATATTAGGATATGGCAGATATATACCAGAAGTAAATCGTCAAATCTTACCTTCGACATCTTTATCACATGACATCAAACAATTACGTACGTTGTTTATTCTACTCTATTGTTATTATATTAAAACACTTTAATGGTTGGGTATTCAATATTTACATGTACATGTATATCTTCCATACCAATGCTGCCCCCCTACAATTAGCTCCGCTTGAGAACATCGACGATTTTAGTTGAAAACAATAAATAATTTGAGAAGTAGTTATTCCGCTTCCATTTTCATAATTAATGAAATTGATGAAAGTGTATAATATGTGTATGAAAGAAGTAAAACGCGTTTGGTCACTCTCATTCCCGTTAGCTTTCTTCATTTTATTGAGGAATGGTTTATAAATAACATATTACACGTTTTATTTATATTAAATATATCCAAATTCGTGAACAAAATAACATCTAATAGTAGTAAATTATCTATATTATTTGTAATGGTCATCAGATATTTGTTTACATTCAGGTGAGAATACAGAATATATCATCAGTATCCGAGCTTTCAATAAGTATGGCGAGAGTTCAGCAACATATGATTTTATCAAAACCAAAGAAGGTAATGTATCAATAAAGAATAATTATCCAATATTATAATGGTGAACAGATTAATAGTTACGTTGACACTTATTGTCAGTGTTTTAAACCTAAATGACTAGAGTTGGTTCGTATCAGCAAATCTGTAAATTTCATATACTAAAGGGTTCACTACCACACTTCGATAACACTTCAAATTTTCAATGAAATAAACAAGTCGGAAGTTATATGGGACTAACCGACTTCCATTGAAAGTATGATGAAGTCATATCAAATATGCAAATTAGGTTTCCACGAAACTTCTTTAACTATTCAATAATCTCAGTTAGAATCTCCGCTGAAATTGAAAATGAATGCCCCTCCGTTCTCACTTCTGCTTTTTAGTCATTGATGTCTGTAATAGTTCAACAACATGTTATCACTTCAACTTACATTAAGTGCTACAGGTGCGTGTTTTATCTCTTCAATTCAACAAAATGTTTATCTTTTAAGTGAAAACTCTTGCATACTTCAACAGAGTGTATTTATCACTTCCGTTAAAGCCCTTGTACACTTTAACAGTGTGGGTTAGGAAAGTTCCGTACTGACGATTGATTCCGGGTGTGTTTCCATTTGCTCTTGTTTCAGTAAACGTATCGCCAAAAAAACATCAATTCGATCATGAATTCGTAAGACCTTTGACCTAATTCTAATAAAAATACCAATGCCAAGTTTCATGGGAAAAGTTCCACCCACAGTGTCATTTATGACTCGTGTTATGTTTTTATTTCAGTGCCATTGAAGTTAGAACCACCAGAAATGATCAAGGCCATAACACTCTCTTCAACATCTATTGGCATATATTGGATTGATCCAGCATTAAATAAGTTCCGGAGAAGAGATAGTAGGCAGTACACGTTACGCTATTCTAGCGAATCTGATACAGATTATACATATCGTAATGTATCTAAACCGCCCGTTATACTCGACAATCTGCAAGTACATACTAAATATGAATTTGCTATAAGGGTTATACGGGGTACAGATTTTAGTAAATGGAGTTTACCAGTATCTAATACGACATTCGGTAAGTATTTTTTAAATCATTTGATGAAATAGAATAATATATATATATATATATATATATATATATATATATATATATATAATTTCTTATGTTGAAAATCATCATAAGGATATTTGTATCACTACAAATAGCCGTTTTATAAATTTTATCTATTTTATTGATTTGGGAATTATTTTACCATTAGTTGAACCACCAAAATCCGTCCCCATTAAGCTGGGTGTAACGGCTACAGAAGAACCATCTAAGTTGACTGTTTCGTGGAAACCGGTTGAAGTTCCTGAACAGCTTACAAACCGTAAGAGAACAATTTCATTTTTCATTAATAGATGTCCTCAATTGTCCTATTTCTTTAAAAATAAATAATTAACATGATGATTTGTAAACCTTTAGTAGCTTACTCTTATCTACGAGAGAGAGAGAGAGAGAGAGAGAGAGCAGCCACTCGACACAAACTATGGTTCAACTTCTTTCAATAATTCGCTTACGCGCAGGGGCGTAAATGGGGGGGGGGGTGCAGCGAAAAAAAAAGTCAGTCGCAAAATAAATGCAGTCGGTCGCAAAATAAGTGCAGTCGATCTCAAAATAAGTGCTCACTGAATTAATACAAACAATGTCAAAATAGAAGGAAAAATCCCAAATTTTATGTATTTGCGTGAATCCGTGCACCTAAATTGCATACGTCACGCTACTAACCTTGTCAACTTTCCCCCAGGGGAAAAAAAAATAGCCGGTCTCAAAATAAGTGCAGTCACTGCAGTCGATCTCAAAATTATGCATCGGCGACTGAACAAATGAATTAATGAGGTAAACAAATAATGTCATAATAGAAGGGGAAAACCTCAAATACTTAATATACGTGCACCTAAATTTCTTACGTCACACAGTCCGTCTCATAATAAGTGCTCACAGCAGTCGGTCTCAGACTAAATGAATCAATGAGGTAAACAATGCCAAAACAGGAGGGAAAAATTTTGTGTGAATGCGTGCGCCTAAATTGCAACGGTATAGTATGAAATAACCTAGTCAACTTTTCATGTTTGAATAAAAAAAATTCCCTGTTATGAGTATGTTGGTCTAAGAAATTGAGAGAGCTTGTTACGAAGATTTTGATAACTTTAATTATATTATTGATTGTCATACGAATAACATTAATCGAAAAGTTGGTAAGTAGTTATCGGAAGCATAGTTTGTTTTAGAAATACGTAAAAAATCTTTAAATTATGAAATGTTAAGGCGATCTATTGAACTTAAGAATTTTTACGTATTGCATATTTAATCCCAGTAGAAATTAAAACGTATTTTACTCATGTTGTAAGTATTTTCTGACCATCAGAATTCTGCAAAACCTTTCCCCAGATCCCATAGTCCAGTAAATGACATTTCAGAGACCAAGTAAGCACCCGCGTGAGACAAAGTCCCCTCAGGCCAAGTCCCAAAAAATTAAAAGCTCAGTTACATAATCTAAATTTTTTCGCGACTACGGCGCTCAATTCTAATGTGTAGAATTGTTCTTTCTACTCTCGCAAAACCGACGAAATTGACGGACGGGCCTCAAGATTCTGTCGGATTTCTTATCCTCTCGTTAAGGAGAATTTGGTCCCATTTGTCATGACATTGGCTATAATTTTTCAGGCCCAGTCCCCAAAAATTAAAAGGTCAGTTACATATCTGAATGTTTTTCGCGCCGGCGCCGCTAGATTCCATTATGGCATCATTCTTCACTCCTCTGTGGCCTTATACTCCCCCAGCACTGTCATGTTCACGGTTATAGTGAACAGCCCAGTTAGTAGTACCACCGGTGCGTGGGTCGTGGGTCGTCAGACTGTACAAATGTTCTGACAACTCTGGCAAAACAGGCGGAATTGACAGGGGCAGATTTCGAGATTCTGTCCCATTGACTCCTATTTCTGGTTCTCTTGTTCACAAGAATTTGCTCCCAGCAATGACCTCAAGTGACAAGATATTGGTTCAATTTTTCCAAATTTTCTCAGGTTGCCCAGTGTTATAGCCACTGCCCCTAAGGTTAACATAAATTTAATTACAAAATCAATAACAATCATCATATTATATGACATATACTTTATGTCAACTTGAATAAAACTGTTTTCCAACGAGATAACGATCGGCGAACAATTATAGCCAATACGATCTATGTTCTACCGGGACGCCCAGTGTTATAGCCAGTATTTTGTTGACATTCATTGTTGGGTGTGATTGTGGATGGCGTCCTAGATTTGGAACCGCCCCACCCCACCCCCTATTCCCAGATTCAAGATCAGCTGCTGGCCTCTAGAAAACTATCATAGTACTTTATTAACAGTATTAATATATAAAGCTTGTATAAAAAGATATAAAACACTCTAGTACTGTATTACCAGTATTACTTTATGCATCTAAAGCTTGTAAAATAGATTTATCGACAGAATTAGCATATTATACAAATGTTATAACAGTATTAATATATAAATCGTAAAACACTTTATGAGCAATATTATCATATACAACTACTATAATACTTTATCAACGGTATAAATATAAATTTAAAGCTCGTAAAATACTTTAGGAACAATATTAGAATATACACATATTATAATACTTTATCACTAGTATTGATATATAAATCTAAAGCTGGTAAAGTACTTTGTCATCAGTATTAGAATATAAACATATAGAACATCACATGTATTAAAATATAAAAATATAGAATATCATCAGTATTAAAATATAAACATATAGAACATCACCAGAATTGAAATATAAACAGATAGAATATCACTAGTATTAAAATATAAACATATTGAATATGACCAGTATTTACATACGAGGGCTGGCAGAAAAGTTTTAAGCCTATCTGTAAAAGATCTGTACAAAGTCAATGGTTTCCATTTATTTTTCTACATAGTCCCCTTCGTGGTGCACACACTTTTGCCAACGATGTTGCAAGGCCTGGATGCCGGTCAGGAAGACATTTTCTTCTTCAGCCCAAGTCAAATTATTCAAAGCTCACATGGCATTATCAGTACAAGGGAAATGACAACCGGATAGTTCCTTTTTCATTTTTGGAAACAGGTCTCATCCATGGTTACAAATCTGGCCAAACCATTATCAGATTACCACGGGACGCCAGGAATCTGACACGTTGTTGATCCACTCTCAAGAGATTTGGCACCCATCTTGCAGAAACTGTTGTCATCCCTAACTCGTTGGCGATAATGTGCTCAACCCTCCCATGAGTGGTCAAACGTCATTCAGCAATCCCCATGTCATGCACCCGGGTGATGTTTTCTTGAATGGTTACTGTTAATTGCCTTCCAGGTCATCGTTAAGGCTATCTCTGCCAAGCTTAAATTCCACAGCACACTTCTTTACTGTGGAAAAGGAAGGGGCATCATCTAAAGTGGAAACCATGTCGGACGGCATGTACCTGTGTTGGGGTTTAGTCTTTTCAGTTGCAGGTACTTGATGACTGCCCTATTGCCAGTTTTGACAATTTCTGGTGATTTCCTTGGGTAGGTTCACAAGATGGTCTGGTACAAAGACAATAATAACACTACAGTTGCAGTTCGTATGTCTATAATTCATTCCATGATGGTAATTGTTGGTGGCAAAAGTTTGTTAAAACCCAACTGATCTATCCTTTTCAGACTTAGAACATTTCAACCATCCCTCATATAGACCTACAGAACACGTAACAGTATAATTATATAAACCTTTAGACTAGAATATATAATGAAGGGTATTAATATATATAATGTTTAAACCAATAGAACTTATTGTGTATTCGGTATTTGAAGATAAAAATTGAATTAATCAAGCACCATGCTGTAAAGAATTGAACCGTTTCCATGTCTGGAAGATTTAGTTAAAAATATTGGGTTTAACAAGGCTAGGTGAATAAGAATTGTATCATAGTATTTACGTATATTGAATTAAGTGATAAAAAAGCTACGAAAAGTTACATAGACATGATTGTCCAGACACTTATGCATAAGTATGTTTGGTAACGTTCCTTATTCCACGTGATAATTAAACGTTTGTAATTCGTCGAGATACGATACGTGCAGAGAAGTAGTATAATATGTTTCTAATATACAGTAATAATATATATGTTATTTGTACAGAGGACCATTCGCAATCGTCACCATATGATGTAGTTATATCGCAACATGGAATAAGTCATAATACAGTTGATATGACCTGGTCTAAACCTCGACAACCTGATGGAAAACTAACAGGTAATAAAACCAGTATAATATGTATGTTTGAATACTGTACTTATACCAGATCTACTACTGAAGTAACTGAATTTCTTTCATAATCCTTCTCATTATCTCATTCGTTGAAGACCCTTTTTGGATTTATTTAAATCACCCCAAGAATATTATCATATGGCACATCTAGTATTTTAGACAACAACAAAATAACCTTTGAAGGAAAAATGCTATTCCATCATTTATACCCTAGCCCTGAATATCATTACTAAACTCTGTCATTTGCGTGAGTCAATTGAAAACAATATGAACGGAGAATCTGTCAGAATACTCTATACTTTAAAGGTTCTTGTACTATCTTATATATTTCTGGCTGTATCTGTATTGTGCTTAAACGCGACAAGAGAATCATTGTAGAAACGTAGCTTCTTTTAAGATTCAGTAATTGCTTTTCATATATTTTAGTTTAATGACAAAAATTCGCAAGGCAGTTAAAGATAAGTTTATCTAGGCATATGGTGATTTCTATGCAAGAAGCTGGCCTCCAACTCCACCGGACAACTGGAGAATGGTGTTTCTTTAAAAATGTATCACGTTCATAAAGTTGCTTGGGACTAGAAAATAAGAGATTCTAGAGTCTTCCACTCAATATTCACAAGTTTTATCCATTGAAATATATCTTAGATGTTATCTTTAAACTCTAAATGTATGACATGATTAATTATTTTGCAGGTTACCACATTTCATATACTAGTAGTAAAGGTGATGATTTAATTAACTGGAGGAGAATAGAAACTACCAATACAATGGTTACTGTAACACAATTACAAGAAAACACAACCTATTATTTTAAAGTACAGGCATTATATACAACTCATGCTGGATATTTCTCTGATATGGTTAACTTTACAACAAAGACTGGTAAATTTTACAGCTTTATTAAAAAATATAAACCCATAGATGTTGAACCCAATCTGATTAAAACACAGATGGATACAGAACAAGCTAAAAACAAAAGCGATTTTTTGTACAATCAGGGGCTATAACCCAGAAAGTTATGGTCTGAAATGCGCAGATATCAAAAGGGACTGAGATCTTTTGAATATAAAGATATGTTTTAAGTTTCATCAAAATCGGATAAAAATTGTGACCTCTAAAGGGTCCACCTCGTTTGTATTACATACTTTTACACAATTTGCGTACAAAGAGCGGTCATTTTGTCGGGCAGTTTCATTTTGATTTCCCCGAAATTCGCATTCAATCTTCGTTATGGTGGAAGGGTGATATATATAAACGGTTTTAAAATTGAAAAAAAAACTTGTGACCTCTAGAGGATCCACAAGCTAAAAATGCGATTTTTCTAACAATCAGAGGCCACAATCCCGGAAGTTACGTTCGAATATGCGCGATTATAATTGTGACCACTAGAGGGACCATAAGCTAAAAACGTGATTTTTCGTACAATCAGGGGCCATAATTCAGGAAGTTACGATCCGATATGTGCGAATATCAAAAAGAACCAAAAATCTCTGGGTTATAAACATATCTGTATTTATTGTTGTCACTTTCCCATTCGTGTAATGCGACACTAGTTCTTATTATAATACATTAATTTATTGTCATGTTGTAACCTTTACTTGAAGAATAAATAAATAAATAAATAAATATAAACATGCATTTCAAGTTTGATCAAAATCGGGTGAAAATTGTGACCTTAGAATGTCCACAAGCTATAAAACGTGATTTTTCGTACAATCAGGGACAATAATCCATGAAGTTATGATCCGATACATGCCAATATCGAAAGGAACGGAGATCTTTGGGAAGATAGACCTATATTTCAAGTTTCGTCAAAATCGGATAAAAATTGTGACCTGTAGAGTGTCCACAAACAAATAGTGGACGGACGGACGGACAGGGGCGACCGCATAATACGTCCACTTGAAAATGTGGGCGTATAAAAACACGAAACGAAATATATCCGTATTTTAATCAGATTGATATTGAACCCATTGTATTTGAGAGCATAGGTCGTAAAACTCGCCTTTTGTCAACTTTAAATTTTTAAACTGGTAACTCACCATGTGCCTCAAACCCAATAAACGTGACTTGTTTTAAGACAGGAATATATTGATATTACTGCTTTCAATTACATATTTTATTTTGAACGCACTAACAAGCGATTGGAATTTTGGTGTATCTTTTTACATTTGTTTAAATGGTCGTGGCCTGTAATCAGCATAGTTGTCTAATAGTATTATGTTCCTAGCTTATATCTGTGTCAGTTTAGAGAGATCTGTCTCATGTTTGAATGAATTGATGGGTGTAAATTTCAGGAGATCAGAACTCCGATCAGAGAATGCCAAAGACGAAAGATTACACCATGACGAGCACAAAATCCACACCCAAGAACATAATAATAACACCTGATACTGTTTCAACACACCGCTACACGAGTAAGTGTTCTTTAATGGCTATATGCATTATGCCATTTTTAGATGACCGAGACTAAAGAAAACATGTCATTATTTTAATTAAAATTCAAGGACCGATTAAATCCATTATACCACTATAGCTTGCCTGATCTCTTAACCTATTTGATGTCTTAGGTATATTTCATCTTACTCACATTTTGTTTAAACCGATATCAATATAATACCACAATACATGTAATACCAAATGCAGATTGAACGTAATCTTTCAGAAAGGCTAGATCCTCGTCTACAGGGAGTACCAAGAGTATCAGTGATCACCAATACTACTGACCAGAACGAGCCAACAAGTAAACGTTTATACACGAAAGGTAATTGATTCATGTGTACATTCAGGGGCGGATACAGACTCACTATTTTTATTGCCATCTTTTGTAAAAAAAATAAAATATACCTTCACTACAATAAAACTTTTCTTGGGATAAACACTATTTACGATATTATCCTCATCAGTGTATTTGTCAATTCTATATTTACAATGGCACACTCTTCATTTATTTATATGTTTAACCAACTAATCTGGACTGTCGGAACAGTGCTTTTGTTCTGGTTTCAGAGGTTTTTAATTATGATTCAAAACGACCCCGGGCGTGGGCCGACCATTTGGAAAATTAGAATTTAACTACTGTTTTAAGAAAATTGTTTCGCATCGCTCGGCTCGGCTGGTTGTTTATACGTCATGTCAACATACAGTGTGCTTTTATATACTAACTTTGCCTGACCTGTTGGGACACATAAAGTATGCAGTTAACTTACTATTGATTGTCCAATATATTATATTATATAAAATGTTATAAAATCTAAAAAGGCACATTCAACATATAAAAACGTAAAAGTATATGTGTATATATCAAGATTCAAAGAACTAGAAAAAAAATATTAGGCTGGGTCCGCTTAAGGTTCTTATTTTTCTCTGAAAAATCAGAAGAAAATGTCCCAAAGATTTTGTCAATAAACTTATCCACCCCTGACACGTATGCTTAAAATGAACGGTACGATAATAGCAACACTATGCGAGGTCCTCTCTTGATGATGACGGTTATGACATTTCACAAATGTGTTGCCGTGCGGTGACATAAATGTGTCGCACATATTCTGGAGTTAAATATAAGGTCTACGGTGATACTGAACTGGTGGACGCAATGATGCATTATTAAAAGAACATTGTTATATGCAGTGGTGTATTGAGTTTAAAAAAAAAAGAAGCGAGAAACCGCATTTTCAAAGTGTTACTCATACCTTGGTGACATTTCGGGCAAATAAGCGAATTGTACGTTTGGATTTACTTGAAATAGCGATGGAACTTGTTCCTGTTTCAAACAAAGCAGGGAGACGTCGTTGTCACGCCTTCCCAAGCATTGTACCACTGGTTATATTATTAAAGCTTATTATAGGCCAACCTTTAAGTTACTTTTCCTTTTTTTTCAGATTCCCTCTCAATAAAAACAACTGTGTTACCTGTATATGAAGAATTGTTACCGCCAGTAAATATAACATTAACCAGTACAAACTCTAGTATTACTGTTATTTGGACTCAACCTCGCCATACAAACCATATTACTAAATATATAATACAATATGGTACTACAGACTCACAACAAATACAAACAGAAGAAGTGGAGAAACTGGAAGCCACAGAATTATCAGTGATATTGTCCAATCTAGGTATAATCCGACTTGTCATTCCTCCACGTCAGGTACACCTGGTTGAAATGTAAATTCCAGTAACGATTTTTTTCGGTCAGTCGGGTAGCTTCATACTTATTCAGAACTCGATTGAAATATCTCACCCAGAGCCCTTTATATATTCCAGATTTGATCGTTCCAAAAATTATAAACAGTTGAATATAAATATGAGAATCACCAGTATTCCGTAATTTCATTGTAAACGCCTCCACCGAGATTATTGTGGATTCTCCAATGAAATACCTCATTTGTATTTGATGATATAAATTGTTGTTGTAGTTCAAATCTACATTATGTAATAGGCATGTATAAGGCGGGAGGTGAATGGTTAAATCATCTTAGGGGAGACTACAATCTGGTTAAAACACAGATCCTATATCGTTTCCTTTTTATAGTTCCAAATTTCGTTTTACCTGTCTTTACTACGCTTGGTGTAGCACACTGATCCGCAGTGAATATTTGCTTGGCCGCGACAATCACTGATAAGGATGACATTGATGCGGCTTAATGAGCTAGAAATATTAACTTTTTTCCTGCGACAAATTAAATTCTAAAACATTTTTTGTATATATTGGAAAATTAAATAAAGGCGTTTGACGTGTTTGTAGTTAAAAATTATTTCCGATTTAGTGTAAATGGGTATTAAAATGACTAAAATGCAGCATTCTCTCCGAAGCAGTTATGTCTTATGTAAACAATGCACGCGCCATTCAGCCAATGATTCACACCGCGTGCTGTGACAGCACGTGTTAAGGCAGTCATCTATGACAGAGATTTTATACGAGACTCGTAATTCTCTGTGAAACAGATTGTTGGTGTAGGCCATCGAAAGTATAAGAAAACGAAACGAAATATAGATCTGTATTTTAATAAGATTGGGGAGATTATGGCCAATAATTAATCATGGATTAGGTTATTACCGTTCATGGGATATTCGAAAGGCGATTGAAGAAATTGTTAGATTATATTCTCTTTTTTTTCAGAAGCGACCACGACTTATACTATCATTATCCAATCAGAAGGTTATAATGCAGTGAGTGACAGCGTTTCCAAGACAATCTCAACCAAAGACTAAAATTATCAATTCATATATTATTAGATAAATAGATACGCTTGTACTAACTGTAGATATAGATAAACATAGAACCAATTTGTGGAGAAAAAAAATGAAAATAAAAAGATAAGAATGTGTTATTGTGTAACGGTAATTTAACATTGAAAATAAACCTGTGTATATTTTGGGAAGCCATATTATAGAAGAATATTGTGACGTTTGTTTGAATATTTTTCATTCATTAAGTAACAATTTTATGCCAGATTACTCAGAAATTAAATGATTAATGTATCGATAGAATACTTGTATTAAATCGCAAATAACACCCCAGTGATATAGATTGTTGGGATAAAATGCAACCCAAAGCCCCGTCTTTATTAGCCCAGTCGGTGCAGAACCGTTTTATGTCCTGCACTTCTTTGGTCCACAGCCTAGCTTTTGTGTTCAGAGAGAGAGAGACAGAGAGAGACAGAGAGAGAGAGGGGGGGGGGGGGTTAACGTCCACTCGACACAAACTAGGTCATTTCGGGACTAACATATGGTTCAATTTTATTTCCATAATTCCCGTAGGGGTCTTTAGCAATGGGAGGAAACCAGAGGGCCCGGAGAAAACCCACGAGGTTGGACAGGCGACCCTACTCCTTGTCACGTACAACCAGGTATTCGAAACCACGCCAGTTGACTCAATGACAGACTTTATGATACAGCGCGCACGTGCTAACCATTCAGTCATCCCCCCTCTCGTCATCAGAACAGTGGATTATGGCCAGATTGTACCCATAATGTTTTGGTAGATATGTGTTGGTGTAAACACTATATATCGACAGGGTTCGTCTTCTCATGGCCGTAGCCTCTGTTGCGTGTCGACAAAGGGAGGTAACTCTGGAACGGAAGGTTGCGGGAGGCTGAATATCAAAGGAACCCAATGCTATACACCAAATTTGATAAAGAAATTGTTAAAAACTGTATCGCGTTCACAAGGTTTCCGTCTGATTATCGATAGGGTTCGTCCTCTCGTGACCCCACTGCTTCATACCACATTTGAAAAAAAAATCGCTTAAAAAGTATAGTCGCAGAACGCTGAATATCGATAGGGTTCCTTCTTTTATGACCCCAACGCTTCATACTTTATTTGAGTAAAAAAAAATCGGTAAAAAAAACTGCAGTCTTTATCGCGTATCGCGTTTATAATTTTTACGGCAAAACGGAAGGTCCTCTTATGATCTAAATCATAAATGCTTCACACCAAATTTGAAAGGTATCTTTTAAAAAAAACTGTAGCCTCTATCTCTTTCACAAGGCCTTTTGGAATAGTGTATTTGACTCCGGAACGTAAGGTCACGGAATTATCGATAGGGTTGGTAATTCATGTCGGACGGTTGGTCATACAGAGAACGATGAAAATGGATAGGTTCCATGCTCTAATGTTCCCAATTCATCCCAATAGGGGACATGCTCCTGATTATCTAAATAGGATAAATGAATTATGAAGTCCATGCCAAAATTTATCTTTAAGAATTTTATCTTTATTACAATACGTTGAACTCTACATGCCCAAGATGAAATCGATTCAGAATTAGTCTGTTTAGGAGTGTGTAACTTATTAAGTAGAACTTCTGCAGAACGAATATCGCCAAATAATGGATCGAGTTGACTGAACAATTCCTCCAAAGACTGTGGATTTAAACCAACAAGAAAATCCGCTGCAGTACCCATGGATGCCCTACGAACAGTATTAATAATAACATGTGTGGAATGTGTACCTTCTTGCTGTAAACTAAGAACCTCTAATTGTCACTGTTTATATGAAACATCACCCTTATTACCATCCCCAGAAAGAGTAGATAATCTAGATGTTGAAAAAGCAGGTGTCAAATATATTGGGGGCCATGGTGGATTTGAATGAACAGGCTGTCTATAAGTGTTTGACTGATGAATAGTGGAAGTTGCTTGAAATGACGGAGGAATACCATGTGAACCAACATTAGTGACAGTAGAAAAGGTAAAATTAGGTTGAAGAATCGGCCGTGGGGTGAAAGTATAATTACCAGGAATGTAAGTGTCTGATGAAAAATTGAAATAAGTTGAATACAAAAAATCCCCAAAATTATACAACTAGAAATCGAAACTTTCAAATAACAAAACATCTAAGTGAAATGATCAATAGTAAACAAACTGAAATACCACAAAGTTAGCTAATTAAATTAAAGCTATGTCCCAAAAAAAATAATAAATCCAGAAGACAAGTCAAACAACACAAGGAATATATAATATAAAACACAATCTGACGAAAATAAATCACCAACAGATAACAAAATCACAAGTCAAACGATTAAACCTTATCTGGTTATAATAAAACAAATCTAAATACCAACAATATACATACCACAATTGATCAATTTAATTCAAAGTACGAATATTATAAACCAAATGCATTCAAACGACAACCTCAGAACGAAATTTGATAATGTTCAATTCATTAAATCACAAGGACAGCCATCTAATCTCAAACGCCTCCTAACCAAAGCAAAATTCAATTCATCTATCACAAGGACCGGCTTTTATGTATCTAAATGCCCGGATCTTCGATGTAAATGTTGCGACAATATTACGCCAAATAACAAAATAATATAATTTTCCTAAGTTTACATTTAGTGTCAACGACAATATGAATTGTGATACAAAAATCTCATATATGTCTTGATTTGCAATGGGTGTCTAAATTTTTACATAGGGGAGACGTCCACGCATCTAGGGGATAGAGTACGCAACCATCGACGGGATTGTAATATTGAAAATGGGCTCTTATTTGTAAATAGATATATCTTTTCCAAATTTTCCCTTTTTATAAAATGAAAATCGCTGACGCCAGGAAAAGGAAATTAATGGAAAACCATTTTATTAAAAAATACGTTCCTCGACTAAATAGTCAATAAGTAACAATTCACCATTAGCTTCATTAATTTTCTTAAATCTATCCCATGATTATCCCCCACTCATTGTTCATAAATTGAACCCATGTACAGATTAAAGGACAATATTGATGCCAGTCATTATCACATATGTGATAGAACTAGTTAAACACGTTCCAAATATTATTTTATCACAAAGATCATTGCTACGATAGATGCATAATCAATGCTTCAACAATCGGAAGTGACGAACGCAAAAGGAAAACATGAGTTATCCCTCTATATAACTGACTGAAATGACGAGTGATAACAGACACATGGGCTAATTTCTGCTCACTAATAATTCTTTCGAAGACCAAAAGTTGTTATATGAAACTGTAAGAGTATATCTGACAATTCAAAAAAGTAATTGAATATCATTAGATAAGAGAACACGAATAAAATAGAAACAGTCCGTACATTCACGCGTGTTTATTCATTCTATCCTTATAAAAACATGGTAATGCACGGACTTTTTCTATTTTTCTTTCATGTTCTCTTATCTAGTGACAGTCAATTTTTTTTATGAATTGTCAGATATCCTTTCACAGTTTCACACAACTTTTGGTCTTCGAAGGAATTATTAGTGGGCAGAAATTCGCCCATTTACCTGTTATCACCCGTCACTTCAATCAGTTATATAGAGGGATAACTCGTGTTTTCCTTTTGCGTTCGTCACATCCGATTGTTGAAATATTGATTCCACATCTATCGTAGCAATGATCTCTGTGATAAAATAATATTTGGAACGTGTTTAGCCAGTTCTATCACATATATGATAATGGCTGGCACCAATGTTGTCCTTTAACATACGTGTGTACATGTTTTCTATTAGTTAACGATGTAACCATAGACAATGGTAACTATAGCCAATTAAAACCAGTGTTACTATGTAAATATGTATAAATATACTATACTGTCCATCTTTATATAATGACATTATTCATGAATAGTCCCAAGACGGACGAAAAGTACTTTAAAATGTTAAAATGTTATTAAACCAGTGTTGAAATCAGTTTGTGTCGGCATACATTTTTTTATCTTTTCATCATTTACCGTGAAACAAAGTAGTGCAGCTTTGCGGTTGTGCTAATAATTTTGGATATATATGCCTAATTATATATATAGTGTACCTAATAAATGACCAATAGAAGTTAAGAAATAGAGAGATGTTACATGCACGTATATGTGTAAAAGTTGTTAACTAATAGAACAATAGACTGTAAACAAATAAAATGGCGGTCCTGTCATTAGGAATCTGTGTCAATGTCGGTAGGTCAATGTCACTATACCCTACCACTAAAGAGAAAACTTATTCAAAGGGCAAACTCATTCAAATGGCCAAACAAAATAAATTATGTTTACTACTATGTAATTAAATTATCTAAGTAAATATACTCTTCAAAAAAAGTAGGGGATATTCAGAAACAATACAAAACTGCGGAAATGCACTGCTTTTTTTATTAGAGGTAACCAGTGTATGTTAATAACAGGCCAATTGCCTACACATGAACATAAACATTCATATGGGCGGCTTATCTGACGGCCCCATTTCACTCGCAAAGAGATACACCGTCAAAAGTGAAAATGGACGTCTTTGATTTTTGTCTTAATAATGAGTAATTGCTCCACCAATCCTTAGACATTCAGCAATTTGTCGTGGCATGCTCCTAATCAAATGTCCAATCACGATTCGGGGCAATTTGACCCACTCCTCTTGCAGTGTTGTCCGTTGACGTTGACGAACACGTCTCCCGATCAAATTAAACGTAATACACTAAAGCAAAGATACGCTAAACAGTAAATATTATGCAAGAACCGTCAGCAAAGCAAACATGGATAGATAAACCAGCACGCGGCAGTTTTAATCAACCCTTCCTTGAAGTGTCAAATACTCTCAAAGCATGTCAAGTGTCCATGACTATTTATCATATCACAGCCTGCATAGGTATTTGCATTTCAATATCCCCTACTTTTTTTGAAGAGTATATGTAAATTATTTATATCATAATCGCGTTAAATGTATATATGTCAACTGTAATAGGCATATACCTAATTATATATATGATAAATAGGTATAAATAAGTATGTTTTAATATAAGAAAACTTTTGGATAATATTGTGTATTCAAGCGTCCCAAAATACACACACACAGTTAATGCCAATAAATGGAACTTATAATATTATAACAACCATTTCTATATTTACATTCAAAAATATAATATTAACCCCCACAAATGTTAATGACTTGGCCAAGTATAAATTGAAATAACTTAACTTACAGATTACAGCGCTGATTCCGCGAAATAAAATCCAATAAATACACAAACACAAAACACAGATCACA